ATATTATATTCTGTATTTGAGGGTTACTTGGCCATTGAGTGTGATTGTGCTCTAGATCATGAGGTATATTGCAAGGTGGCATTTTTTCACTTGTATGTATACAATGGTTTCATTGACGGTGATGTGTTTATGCTAATATTCTGTCATGTACTTTTATGGCTAAAACGTACCCTTACTCCATTTACATATAAACTATGGGTATACGGGGAGGGATAAATGTGTATTTGTAGCTGTGTACTGTGTTTTGATGCAAGCACACACATTCTAGCAATGTCTGTGGATGTATCATTGTAAGTATGTACAAGTGTATAACATCTGCAATTCTTTTAATAAACAGGTTATTGTATTGCACGTCTTTTTTTTCAGCTCTATATAACAGGTAAAGGGTTATGATGGTGATGGGATTTTTTTTTTTCAAAACTTTGACAAAGAGTAAAATAGACAAAAAATAAAACATTGCATGCATATTTTTTGCACTTACATAGAGCCCATTTAAAAAAAATTTGTACAAATCATACGTACAACTTGATACTTTAAATCTGAAATACAGCTGCAAAAATACTTACTGTTTACGAAGGGCTCTATGTTGTCCATTGATTTCTATAGTAAATAACACATTATATCTTGGACCCCTTCACTGCAGACCAACAGGATCACCACGGTATGACAAGAACATCTAAAACTAGTGAACTACGAGAGGTAATACAACAATCCCATCACCATCATTTGTTTTAATCCCTTTAACCCGTAAATGACAATACCTGGCTGTAATGTGGGATGCATGTTTGCATGGTTTATTCTTTGTTGCTTGTAGTTTACTAGCATGACTGAATGTGACTAGTGCTAACTGAATATGACTGGTGACTAGTGCCAACTGAATATGACCGGTGACTAGTGCTAACTGAACCAAGTGATACACGGCATTGGAGCCAGATGTTTTTTATTCAGTTCACTGTTTATAGTCACACATTTATATCTAGTTAAACGTAATGAAATATACTGATCTAGTCTAAATTTAGTGTATTTTAATGCATTCAGCTATTTACATTTGTACCAACAGAACAAACTTTGTCCTCTTTTTTTTTTTTTTTAGAATAATCAGTAGTCTGTCATGAAAATGATGGTTCTTTTTTTAGATCTGTTTTTCTGACTCGTTAACAGTCCATACTTTGTCTTGTTTTGCTGCAACCACAGACTTTTCTTTTGCTTGTACTACCTTATGATTAAATTGGTTTGCACTTGACAATTAAACAAAACTGCTAAGTTGCTTACTTGATACATTCTGCTTGGGTGGAATGCAAATAAACACATCTGGAGTTGTAATTTCCTGTTAGTTTGAAAGTGGTAACTTATGGATAGACTTAATGTAAAGACCAGTGTCTTGAGAATACCTTGGCTGATCACATTCAAACTGGATAGACTTAATGTTTAGAGCAGTGTCTTGAGAATACCTTGGCTGATCACATTCAAACTGGATAGACTTAATGTTTAGACCAGTGTCTTGAGAATACCTTGGCTGATCACATTCAAACTGAATAGAATTAATGTTTAGACCAGTGTCTTGAGAATACCTTGGCTGATCACATTCAAACTGAATAGAATTAATGTTTAGACCAGTGTCTTGAGAATACCTTGAATAACTTCACACACATGTACTGTGTATCTTGGAATACATATGATCTGATTCAACAAGCATTTCTTCAATTCCAGAACCAAGTATGGATAAATTTCATGCAAACTTGGTACATACACTGGAAATCTTTAATCTTGTTTTTCAGATTGGATTTAAAAAGACCATCTGGTAGTCATTTTAATGTTTAAAATTCATTAATATAAATTTCTTGGTTATACATCTATTGTCCATCTTGTTACATGCATTGAGCATATATATCATGTAGGGACAAGATCAGATTCCAAATTGTCAATTAAAAATCCTAGAACCACGACTTAATCAGATCATACTTTACAACTACATTATACATCATGTTATCTGTTTCATGTTTGATTCATTTCAGTTTTGTTTGTTATTGAACCATTGACGACTCTATCATGTCATGACTTGTCTTCAAAATTATGGGTCAGAATGTCTCTCTAAAATGGATCTCAAACAGCACAGCTATATCAGTTGAACAGGCTGCATGTTAGTCCTCTACGCATTGGTAATACCACATTATTGTCAGTCTATGCACTATATTGCATTGATAATGACATACAGATGATGCCTGGCGCCCCAGGTGAACATGTACATGGACATGTACTGAACACTGTGGTGCATTGTCAATATTAGCTTGTTTTTTGTTTTGATGACTTTTTGATCAACTCGTGGAGATTTTTCCTCCAAAAACATGCTGACAAAATTTGATTATGTCATAAACTGTTTCTCAGCCATGCCTTGGCCAATTTCATTCACATTTAGTATGATGTGTTACTGATGCACATAACTATGTTTTATGATTTGATTCAAACTGTTCAACTAGTGGTCATGTTTGTTTTATTTTCACCTGCTGAAAGCACGGATAGCTGATATGAATGGTATACATGTACCATGTAGGCATGTCATTTGTTTTCCATTTTGATGATTTTCAACTGACTGTCTTCATATCAGGCATGCCTGCCTGCCTGCCTGCCTGCCTGCCTTCCTGCCTTGTTTGATTTCTTTTAAACTCGGTATGAACAAAA